GCGACAGGATCAGTTTTTCCAATAAAGAGATAATCATTTGCTTGGAACTTTTGTTGGATTTTTTTCGGGCATATACGCGTAAATCTACAATTCATCATCAACTGATAACTGACTAAGACCTCGATTGGATTCAACATACCATCTATAAACACTGGTTTTTGATGGAGCATTATCGCTACATAGAATTAAGTTAATCGATCAACTATTGCTAAGATTATATTACATTGCGCAAATGTTTTTCCCATTTAATTCCATTTTTGGCCGAAACACTGAACACCTACCTGCAGAAATCACCGGSATCGCTGAAATCATGACTACCGAAATGCCTAAACCTTAATCTGGCTAAAGATAGACAGTAAAGGAGAAAGTGTTTGTTTTCAGCTCATCTTTCTCATTGCAACTATGTGCTTCAAAAGCTTTAGCCTCACCCTATGAGTGCCAATGGACAGTGTCCAGTTGGGACAACTATAACTGCGGCAATGAGGGCCGTGCTAAGAGACCCATATACCTAACGTGGGAATGCACGCAGGCAGGGAATMCCTGCTCGGTCCCATGCTGTTGGAMTTTGGGTGGCTTTTCTTGTGTGTTCATCGACCTTAGAATTCTCAACGATTCCGCTGTGTTCAGGCACTTTTTGACCAGCTATGAAATCACTGTTAGCGAGCTCAAGACCCGTATAGCAGCTCTGCTGAATGCATACTCGAAGTGAATGCATACGTCACGTCGCCAATTTAAATCTTGCGTTTAATTTGGGGCACCTTATATAATACCTTTTGATCAATATAAATAATTTTAAGGCAGCATGAAAATCCAATATCAGATATATGTAGAAACGAAGAAAGAGCATATGTAATATGTAATATGGACGTAGGTACGGACATGTAACACTTATTTCAAACAGATAACCAGTAGCGACAAGGAAACAACAGACAGTCAAAACGCGGACGAGGACTGAGTATGGTAAATTCAACTTTTTGTGTTAAAATAAACTCAATTAAAAACAAGAAAACCCGTTAACTTYGGCTGCATCGAAGCTAATATATCCCTCACAGATATATTTTATTTAGTAACTATGTATTCAGTTTGTATGGAAGCTATATGATATAGTAAGTAGTAAGTATATAGCTCGGATCTGAACAGTTTTTTCAGAAATTATATTATTAGCTTAAGCAGTAATCCATGTAAAATTTCGTAAAGATACCACATCAAATGAGGAAGTTTCCTATACAAGAACTTGATTCCGATCGTTCAGTTTGTATGGCAGCTATATGTTACAGTGGTCTGATATCGACAGTTCCAACAAATAAGCAGCTTCTTGAAGAAAAAATGTCGTTTGCAAAATTTCAGTATGATATCTTAAAAACTGAGGGTATATATACAGAARGACGGACATGGCTAAATCGACTCAACTCGACATACTGATCATTTATATATATTATATAATTTTTAAGGTCTCCGACGATTCCTTCCGRGTGCTACAAACTTCGTGCCAAACTTAATATACCCTGTTGAKGGTATAAATATCGTACTCTTTTGTTAAAATAAAATCCACAATACCTCTATGGTATTGTCCTAAATGTGTTTTTGAAGTCGGTTGGCAATATTTCTCGAGAACTACTCAACCAATCCTAAATATTTTATACAGGTCTTTGAGGGACAATCTTAAAACATTCTCATAAAATATTTAATTATTTATATAAGGAAAAAATTGTTAATTGTAACCCTTTAAACCTTAATATCCAGGCTAGTTATTTACAAAATAATATTAAAAATGTTTATTAAATTTAATTATTAAATACGTTAAGTTTTAATTTAATCTTACTTACTTTTTGTAATTAAAATGCCTTTCAAGCTAATAAATTTAAGACGCGAAAATCCCTAAAAGTCTAATTAATTCCCTTTTAATTTTATTCAAATCATAATCCGCACTTCGCCACTTCAATAAAATAATTCCATTTGAACTTCACCAACACAAGCGCACCACGCCCAATGCAAGCACTGTACGCAACAAAGATACATATACAAACAAACACAAAGCCACTTAATCCACCGCCATTAATTACTTATAAGCCGCGCACGACAACTTTAAATATGCATAAAGAACATTTCACATAATTAAAAGTGGACAAAACAAAAAAGAGCATTACTAAATAATGAGGTTTAGTTGATATATGAAGTACTGTGATTGAATGCAGAGAACGCGTGAGAATGAATGAAAGCGCAGCAGAAGGGGAAAGCTTTTGCTACACATTTGTAGTGTTTGTCGTTGTTGTTTTTCATAACTTGGCATGTTTTTGATTTAAAATGCAAATTTACGTATTATTGTAGCAACGTGTTAATAAAATTATACGCGAGCATAAATGTGCATTCCTCATTGAATGGAGAAAGATACATTTGCATGCACACTGCTTATAAATATGCCTGCTTTCACTACTCAGACCACATACGAAATAAATTACACATTTCTTAAAAAGAATTAAAATATTTTATTTATTGCTGAATGATGCCTTATTTGCATTTTATAAGTATAAAAATTCAATTTTTTTTTTTATATTTACTTACAAATATGTTCTGTTTCTTTATTTGAAAATTGTTTGAGCCTTTTCCCGCTCTTTCTTTAGTTAGTATACAAATTAATATATTTTAAGCAAGCAATGTTTGCATTTGCATATATATATCTTGTATATATATTTACTAATTTAAAAGATACCATTATGTACCCGCATATTTTACATTTTATTTTCATATTATTAAGAATACAAAAAGCAAGCCTTAGAACTAGTGAAAGATATTTGAGATATTTTCAACAAAAACACATCTTTTACAATTTTACACATGTACACATACATATTTTTTCGGGGGAGTTCTCTCTCCTCTGCTATGGATTCTGGTCGTTAATGACCTGCTTAAAAAGCTCAAGGCTAACAACAAATTGGACAGTCTGAAGTGGTCTCGCCATCAACCCAAGTTAAACCGGGATGGTTTTATTTACTAKAASATGTAAGATCCCGGTTRCACCGCTTCCGCAAACAGCAGACATTCATCTGCAAGCGGCGGATACAGTGAAATATTAAAGAGTCATCCTGAATTGGAAGCTTTCATAGCATCAATTGCCTTATACTGCTGAAGAGGATCCATTTGATAAAGATAGAGTCTCTCACCCAAACTGATCCTCTGGCTCTATGACACCATAGTCAAGCTCATTATATTCTATGGAATCTTTATGTGGTCGAACAGAACTCTCAAACTTGGTGGGCAGGTTTGTGGAGGAGCTCTCTGTCAACTCCAGCTTCAAACTTACTGACTATTGCAGTGGCAGCCAAGCTAAAGCAGTAGCTTTTCCGAAGTGCAACCTCCTTCAGTGATGTGACCATCCACTAGCCTTGAACTGATTAACACTGCGTTCAGGGTTGGTCAAGGAGTGCCTAACCTCGCTATCAATAGCATCGAGTGTGTTTGTGATAASACTGGTATGGGTACCAGGCCATAGCAGAATCGTAGGAAAGGCRTTCTAGATCCGCTATCGGTAGAATGGGAGCGGTTCGGGGCTACTGTACTACTACTACTRCATTACTACTAAATARCTGAGCWTTGCGGAAGCTTGGRCAGTTCTGGGCCACCATCGKTACATGCGTCATAGCAAGAGCCCTTTGGCTCAAGATCGATCGGAAGAGATCTAGTGATCCGTTTGCTCTCAGTAATACTAGCCTCTCCCTAGTTGTTGAACTTTTATTAGGGCATTGTCCTATTGGCGTCCATGCCGTAAGTTGGGAACCTTACCAGACGACATCTGCAGAAACTGCGTGGAAGAAGATGAGGTAGAAACAACTCAACACTTTTTTTTACTATCCCGCGTTTGATAGGACATCCCACCGAATTGGCGGGAGTGGAAATTAAACGCCTATGMAAATTTGTATTGACTACTGACTGCTTTCTTAAGTTATAAGTTCGAACACAAGAGATCTTATTTTCTATGGCGTCGCAAAGGACTATATATAGCAGTCCACGTGCGATCTCTCTAGATCAGCCGCCTAACCTAACCTAACCCTAACCTAACTTTTTTTCGCCTTTTTTTTTTTTGTTCAACAAGTACTATTTCAATCTAGAGTTCGCACGGAGCCATCATATTCAGTACTCAAGAGTTAGCTTTTAGCTTTAAATTTTGAATCCAATTCATCGATAGATTCATTTTAATAGTTTTTTTTTCACATCGAATCCCAAATATCTTGGATTAAAAACTAAAAAACTAACTTTTAATCGGAGATTAAAAAATAAAAATTTTATGTACATGAAAGTGTTAATAGCAATGTTATTTTTGTTTGAAATTTATATATAYTTAAGAGAACATTTGCACGCTTAAAGTTAAATTTTTTATAAGTATATGAATTAAAATTTGTTATTACTTGCTATATTAATAGCTTCTTCGATAGAAGTACTTTAAATGAATAAAATCACATATTGCTTAATTTTGAAATGATTAAAGCTTTTGTATTTTTGTAATATGTGATTCGAATACTCTATAATGAACATACATATTTATACATACATATTTATGTATGTTTATAGATCATTTCATATTTTTTTCTCCATATTTTTAATTCTTTATTTTTTAACTCAAAACACACTATTAATCATAAATTTGTAAATTCATAGCTGAAACTGTTTTAAATATAGCAGGCAACCTTTACTCATACATAACAGGGTGTCTACACTATATGGAATATACATTTTTAGATTTAATAAACTTCGTTAAAAATTTTACTTGTTACACTTTTAAGCGCTTTCATAATTTACTTGCCAAAATATAAAAACTGAAATAAATGTTAATCACAAACATTACTTTTCTMTTTCATATACACCACACTCCGCCGTATTACTCGACGCCATCCTCGTTTGTGGCCTTCAACAACTTCTCCGAAACTCTATGCAAATCTTGACACTTGGCTGCATTTACAACATAACCTCTATTTACGATGTTACGGAATGGCCTATTGTAATAGGGTGCCGCTAAGCTGACAAAAGAGGACATCGAAAAAGTTTTCTCACTGTATGATCGGGTGAGTTGCAATCCTAAAAACTTTGACGTAATAGTTGTGTGAGAAAAATTGCGTAAAAATATTTTTGTGCTAGTGTTTTTGTCGCAACAATGCAACTTGCTTCAACTTTTTCCATTCTATAATATTTTGGTTTATTTTCCATTTGATATAGGAGCGTTGTCGCAATGCAGTAAACATTTTTTTATTTCTTTTATTTTGCATATCCATTTTGAGTTATTTTTTCATTCCTTTAAATTCAAATATTTCTCTTACATTCACATTTATGCACAGCATTGGAATGCAAATTATTGCTTTCTGCCATACAAAATTATGCAGACCACATTTCGCATACAAATGTATGTATGTGCATACCCAAACAACAAGMGAGATTTGTGTTTGCTATGCCTTTATTGAAATAACCCGATTGAAGGCATCTGTAAAAAAGAATAATTTATGTTGAGAAATATTGAAAGTTATTTCTTCTTACTTATATATTTTACGTTTAAGAAAATGTGGTGCCAATTCTTGAATGTAACTATTTGTATTGGTTGTTAATTAGTCAACTTCAAATATAATGAAAACTCACTTGAAAATTTTGCCATCTTATTAGTAAGAGTTTACGAATGCGACGGTTCTTTTTTAAGTTGGCTGCTTCTCAACAATTTTCTCAAAGTCAAGCTTTTGTATGGAATCTTTTGCTTTTGCGAGAGGTATGATTGTCTCGACCGAAAATAACGTTTTTTCATGTTTTTTTAATTCAATCTATAGATAGAATAACTGAAACCGAAATTTCAGTATCCAAAACACATCCAAATTAAATAATGTTACTTATTTGCTTCTCCAATTAAAGGAGTTCCCCATTTCAAGCTTCCTTACTTAAAAAAAAACATAGAAACTTCAAGTTTAATGTCGAATGTTTATTATCATTCGAAGGACAACTTTTATGAATGTTTTTTTTTTTTTTTTTATTGAAATTATCTCTTTCAAATGTTGGTCGCATGTCGATGTTGAGTTCAATTTTCAATGACTCGTTCTAGCATTTCGACTGGTTACCGAATGACACGCGTGAGGTTTTACTCCAAAGCCTGTATCGAAGCGGGATTGTCCTCATTGACCTTAGACTTTGCATATCTACACAAGGAAGAGTATAAAGATGTGATATAACACGATCTTAGTGGCCAATCGAACGATCCAAAATGGGAAATTATTTGGTCACCGAAGTGTTCTCTCAATAAATCATTTAGTTATGCGATTTGTGGGTAGTGGCGCCGTGTTTTTGAGACCACGAGCTTCGATTTGTTTATACTAGTACACCCTTTGAGTCAGATGTGATACTCATCGCTAAACAAAGTTTGGCTCGAATAACGTCGGATTTTCTTGGAACTTTTCATGAGCCCCTAGAGCAAAGCGATGTCGCTTGGGAAGATCGAGCGGCTTCAGTTCTTGCACTAATTCTATTTTATATGCTTTCATTTTAAGATCTTAATGTAAAATGCGCCAAGTCGTTCCATATGTCAGACCGATAGCTGGGAATGGTGCCGATTCGATTCACCACGGTCTTCGTCTACACTCTCAGCTGCTTCAAGACGTAACTTTGTAAGCGCATAGTCGAACTTATAACCTTGACAGACGGCAGCGTTAATCTGGATTAACTGTGCACTAAATCAGATCCAAGCGAGCTTGAAACTTTCATAAACAGCTGACATTTTTATAATATTTTCAATGAAAATAAGCATTGGGATTGTTAGCCGACCAATTTTTACGAAACCATTGTTTATTACAAAAACATATCAACACGTTATTTTTAAAACTGTATCATAACCTAACATTATAACATGAAACTTCTTGTTTTATTGTTGAAAACTTAAAAAACTGCTGTCACTGTTGGTTGTTTTTCATTCACAATATGTGACCTGGTCTACGGAAARGGGGCTTAGGTGTCAAAAAATCCAAAACAACAATTTTCACATTTTAGTTGATTCGGATGGAAGATGAGATTTTTAACAGCTGTTTCCCAGAAAACTAGTTTTCGCACGTTAGCCAGGTCACATATATTAAATTTGGCCATTTTTAACAATGTTGCCAATAATGCAACTAACTCTCTAAAATTTTGAGGATTAAAAAGCAACGGAGTTATCTTCATAAACTCCTGAATTAATCAGGATTAATGCAGTCACTTTTTATATATGTATTTTAATGCCGTTAACCCGGATTAACGCTGCCGTCTGTCGATGCTATAATAGGAGAGGGCTTAACATCTAACGTGATGCAGATCAGCAGATTGGTAAATATTTTTCTGCATACAAGTAGATTATGCATAAGCATAAGTAAGTAAGAAGTCTTTTGTCTCTTCTCACTCACTCTTGACAAGCTGTGATAAGCCTTTGAGACCATTTCCATAAATGCCAAAAGTATATTTTTAGGCAATATCGGAATGGAAAGCTCAGTCAAACAAAAATCTACATTTTTTGCTGATGAAAGCAATAAATCGATTAATAAGTTATCAGCCATAGAATAGCTCGCATAAGGACTATAAACATTAAAATATCATGTGGCACACATTTTTACTCTTACTTTAGTAATGCGAAAATCAGTATTTAATAATTTAAGGATATCAAAATCTAAGCATTTTTACAACTCGTTGTATCACAGGAAGAAGCTAACTGTCATTCCAAGGCAAATATTCAAATGGCACATTCCAAAAAATCATTTGCTTACCACATTTGAATTTTAAATGAAATTGCTTTTATGTGCTACATAAATTATTGATGAAGAGAAGCTGCCTTACAATAAACTTGTGCCTACATCAGAGCTTCTCTAATAAATTGCTTTCATTGGCTTTTCGACACCTCTTACATAAAAAGTCAATCACAACACATTAATGAAATTTCGCACTTCAATGACGCTTCTTTCAATAAGAATCTCTGGCTGTAAAAAAAATCTAAAAAACAAAATGAATAAATAAAAAAAAAAGCCACAACTTCTTAATGGTCACATCGTCTGGCATAAATTTTGTAAAGTGGAAATTTCTCGAACGGAAAAAGGGCTGCTTAAAAGTGTGCATATTTCTCAGCTGTCAGTAACATGAAAATACTTTACTCATGCCGCTTCCACAGAATTTCAAATTCTGCTGCGAAACGACAGCTGTCTTGAACAGAATATTTCGCAAATAATGGTAAATACATGTTGTGATCATTAAAATCTTAATAATAAATTGTGGCCTTGTATTAAATATATGGCAGAAAGTTTTACTAGTGAATAGAGGTTACAAAGTCTAAATAAACATTTAGAAAGCGGTCTGTTACAGCCAACGAAAGTTAAATCTTCTTCGTAGACCACGCTTACGCGGTTATATCCAAGTTCCTCTTCCTTTGCTTCACCCAGCAGGTACTGCGTCACACACTTTCAAAGCTGGAATGTTGTCATTCATACATGACCTAGCCAGCGCAGCCTCTGTTTCTTACTTTGCTGAACTATATCAATCAAAGACGAAATTATATCCGACGGGTTATGACTGTCATCAGAGACATGGCCAATGTCATGCCAAGTCGCGATCTTCTTTCTGATCCTGACGGAGCTTTTGGAATTGCTCATCGGCCGCAAGCGTATTAGTTTTTCGGGGTACCAAATTCAGAGCATCTCCTTTTCGCGCTGTCAAAAGCAGCTTGAAATCGACGAAGAGGTGGTGGGTGTCGATGCTCTTTTCACGGGTCTTTTCCAAGATTTGACGTATGGTGAATAGCTGRTCAGTWGTTGATTTTCCAGGTCTAATGCTTCAAACGGATATTTTTTGATTACCCAGTGGAGTATTGGTCTAGAACTGGAAGTCGTGAGCTGCTTGAGCCATATGTAAAGGAATTGYTTCTGGTCATTCCCAAGTGAATGGCTGTCAGAGAACTTTCCTCACTTGCTAGAACTTCTAGACTTGATTGCATCCTATGGAAATCACTTACAACTAATTGGGCATTATACAACAAATTTAAAATTAGCCTACTTCCAAAATTTAAATCAGCTAATTTGAAACTATTACGTACAATTGCCAATAATGTAGTCCTGGTAGTACTATAAAAAGTTTAGGAAATCTGAAACATAGTCACTATCAAAAAAGTAATCTAGCAGCATGTTCCTACAGAATTTTGTTCACCTAACGGTCGTTTCCAGCAYCTAAAACTAATCGAGATAGATATATGCATATATAGGATTTGTCCGGAAAATAATAGTACTGACTCTTTTTAAAAAAACTTATTGAACCAATCATTACAATTCTTTAAAAACTTTCAAAATAGGCTCCTTCTGCGTCGATGCAGCGCCACCAGCGAGATTTCCATACATTGAAGACGTTACATAAGGCWTTCTCCGGAATAGCCTTGAGAGACGAGGTGCATGCTGCTTGGATCCCCTCTGTTGTCTCGAAATGCTTGCCTTTCATCGACCATTTCATGTAAGGAAACAAAAGAATGTCGGAGATAGTCACATCTGTACTTTAGGGTGGCTGCGGAAGCGTTGGGATTGACATTTCGTTTGAGTATCTTGAGGACTTCCACGTAAAGCTTGGCGTCGACGGTTTGTCTAGACGAAACCAATTGATGGTGGACGATTCCTTTGATGTCAAAAAAGACAATGAGCATCGTTTTCTCTTTGGGTTTGCTAATTCTTCCCTTTTTTTCATGGTCTTCATCMGCAACCTCTTTCCAGCCCTCCAAAAAGGCCTGGTGCCACTGAAACACACCACTTCTTGCTAAAGCAACATATGGATAAGCATGCTTGATCATATCAAACGTCTTTGTCGCAGATTTACCGAGTTTCACACAGAATTTAGTCGCGTACCTCTGACTCCTGACTCTCCAGGTGAGACAACTGACCAGCCGCTCGTTCGTTAGATAGAAACGCACTCTACGGACTCCAGTCGGTGCGCACACGCTCCGAAGTACAGTCGCGGCGGRAGAAAATCAGTCCTATTACTTTCCGAAAAAAAAACAGTAAATGATTAAGATGACAAGACGCGTTGAATCCCGCGTGACGATAACTAGAGATAAAACTTACCTTATTTTTTGACATCCATGGAGGTTGGTATTTCAGATAGACGTAATCTGACCTTTGTCACGCCGTTTAACACCGTTTTTTTTAAGGGGARGCAACCTCCCATATACTTTTCACACTTCCAAAWGTCAATGCTAAMTGTGACAAAAGCAATTTAATCTCCTAGTTTGTATTTTCAATTTCAATTTGAAAGCCACAGAGCTCACGCCGTTCACTCACGGTTAGCGGGAATATGTGTGGACACAAAGGCAACACTTCGGAATTTCGATTTTATTTTATGCTTGTAGTTGAGCACATTTTAAAGTCAACTAACACAACTAACATATAATCAGACAAAAATCTACAAACACACACACACACATGTGTAAATGAAGTGCAAAAAAGAAGAATTTTCGCAATTTGTGGACCAGCAACACAGAAGTTGTATGCTCAAACTCAGACAACACTCAGCGGAAACGCTTCGTTGCGCACATTTTACATACATATGTATATTCGGATATGTATATACATACATGTATGTATGTATGGAAAAAATCATGCTTTATTGTGTGATTTGGTTGCTGCTGCTGACGCTGTATTGTATTGCAACATTTTGTGTTGGGTGGAGTGCGGTCAATTGTTTTGCCATTCAAGCAATCTCAATGGCGCGTTGAGCAACAGAGTCACAGCCACAGCCGCAGCAGGATTTGGTTAGTGTTGGATGCTTTGCTGTAATGGCAATAGCTAAATAACTCTGCGCAAACAGAGATTCCACTTTATATTGGATTAACTAGTTGCTTTTTCATAAAATCCTTACAGCCACAATTCAGGCAATCGTGCAACCTTGTACAATGCATGTTTKGTTGTATATATGGCGAAGCGAAATCCTTAAGTTAGATATGGTGTTTGAAATCCACACATTTGGGGTAAAGTGGCTGCATTAGAAACTCTTTGTGTCTAAAAATTTGCTTTAAATATTATTTTGCTCATTCTATAAACACTAACAGAATTTATAGAAATGAGACGCAAGTCTCTCAAATATAGCAAAAATATTGCTCTTGCAAATGGAAATTAACTATTATATAATTTTATAGTTTAAATCTTTTTTATTGCAAAAAAATATTAACTTCTTATATACCCCACTTATCTGTTCAGTTACCGGTTAACTACCCAACAGCGTTACCAAAGATTTCTGTTAATGTTTCYATGAGCTTTTTAAGGCAATTCRAACCAATACTCTTGTGTGTTTGTGATCGTCGTCAGTCTTACTATAGGGTGTGTWTGTGTTAGTTTCCGCGCTAATCCTTCCATTATATTAGAGTTTCGGAAGCCGTGACTTGGTAGGTACTTAAGTAGGTCAAAAAGTTTAATTATTAATATTAATAATTTATCGACTTTCGATAACATATTGTATCATCAATTTCCGTAAATACAAATATTTTGTTTTTAATTCCTGCAACTTYCGTATACTTCTACCGGAATGAAAAATATTTTGGAGCAACCCTGTCGCAAAAATAAATAATATAAACATCACTGTTGCTTACCACGGGTCAGATCAAATTTCATTATATTCGTATCTCTGTGCGAGATTGAGCAAGCGCTATTAAATTTTCATTTATTTGCTGTCGACATKTTGGAATGGATTTGCGTGGGCGCCACATCAAAGTTTCATTGTTTGTTTTGCACAWACGCAAACATATTTATATATGAMCTTCTTTAAAGCCACTTTCTCTTTTTCTACACTTTTAGGATAATAGCGGCTCAATAGAAAACGAAGAGCTGAAAGGATTCCTCAAGGATTTGCTGGAGTTGGTGAAGAAGGTGTGTATGTAGTATATTGTAGTATATATTTTGTTGAACTGTGAAAAATGTAACAAACTAAGAAGTTCGCTGTCAGAATCAATYGTTGCTTTAATGATAAGTTCATTTTGTTTTATTTCACATTTCGTTCACACACAGGATGACTACGATGCTCAGGACTTAAAGGCTTTCGAGGAGACTATTTTGCGTGGCGTGGGCTACGATAAAGATGGCAAAATCTCACGCAAGGAACTGACAATGATACTGCTGACTTTGGCTAAAATGCCACCAGAGGATGAACAATAAGTAGTTCGCTGCTAAGCAACACAACAACAAACATAAAGTTTAGTATTTATAAAGATAATAAAACTCAAAAAAAAAAATAAATAAATTAGTACGAAAACAAGATAATTAAACTTTTATTATTAAAGTTTTTAGTCTTATGAAAATAAGCAGCATGTGCAAATTACTAAAGAGGCAAGCAGATATATGTAGTAGCATTGAAATAATGGYCAATAAAGTCAATAAACAGAAATATGTGAATGCACACATAACCACAGTTTTTTGATAGCTTAAGCAATCAGAAGCGTTAAAAARTAAAACAAAAAAATAATGCGCTTAATGAAAAATAGATGCGTATAAGAGTACAATGAAGCATAAAATATTGCGATTTTAATAAAGCAAAAATAAGAAAACTTGCAAAATAAATTGTAAAATGCATTTTGGATATTTAACTGAAATTTAATTGCACGACGAGACGCAGAAACAATGCGCGATAAATTACAAGCGACAAAGCAACACAAGAATACAACAATAAAGCATTCAACGAGGGAAATTAATTACTTTAAAATGCTGCCAATGCAAAGCAGTCAATGAAATGTAGAATATCAAAAACAAAGAAGAAGAAGCATAGCAGATATTATTTAAATGAATAAATGAAGTGGGTGTTTCATTCAAAGGGTGTGAATTTTTAGCCATAATTATTAAGTGTCAAATTTGGCGACTAAAATAATAGAAACCAAAAAATAAACATATATGACATTTTTAAGGCACCTAATAATAACATTTTATTTTGTRTAGTTGTGCTGAAGCGTATTTCACTTTAATGACAATATTCAAATACAAATTCCAACTTTTCGCGCTACAACTAAAATCTAAATTTTTTCTTGATATAATTTGTCGCAAAAAATATGACCGCAAATATCCCGTAAGTCGATTTTTTACATATTACATGTTCAACTAACCTCAAAATATTTTCTCGATATAATTTATAGCAAAAATATAACCTTAAAATATTTTCTTGTTATAATTTGTCGCAAAAAAAATGGCAGCAAACCTTCCGTAAGCCTATTTTTTATATATATGTTGTGCAATTTATTATTTTGCTGCAAGTAAAGCCAAAATTCTCCGCTTTTTTAAAGCKGAAAATTCTGAAAAATATGGAAATAAGTTGAAAACCACAAATAATTTGTATAAACAACCTCAGCCATTTAAAGAAATGCTTAACACAACATAGAAAATAATAAAATAAACCAGCCAATAAATGTGCATGTCCTAGCGAAAAAATATAACATCGATTTTATTGTTAAAATAGTAAATGTAAAAAATAACGAAAACTTATGTAGTATTTGCAAACAATTTATATGTATGTATGTTTTTTAATGTGTATTAGTTTATATTATATATATATATTTTTATTAAGTCATACAAATAAATATTATATGGCATATGAGTAACGAATTTTTAGATATATATGTTAGTTTGTTAAATAAAAATACCGACAAAAAATATTAATATTACAAGAAAACACGATTTCTCCAAATTATATGCGCGTGTATGCCATTTCCGGTTATTGATGTCAAGAACAATTGACATTGAAAATTTACTAAAAATAACAAAGCAAACTGTTTTTGTTAACAAAAATATATATATTTGAATGTTAAACTTATAAATGTGTTGTCATATTGTGTACCTGTCCTAAAGCAGTAAGGCTTACATATATATTTACAGTACTTACAACTTTGTTCTCACAAAGTTTTTAATTACTTAATGCAACACTTTTTCGACTTTGACACGCGTTGTTATAAAACTCAACAGCTGACTTATAAACTAAAATATTGAGAAAAAATCGATCTTCCCTTAACTGTAAAGATAACTTACCAAAGAACTGTTAACTCAAAGGCACAAACAACTAGGCAACAAAGTGTAGCAAAAGATATTTTTCCAGCTTCCAACCATGCTGAAGTACATAATACCTAAAATGCAAAACAWCSTTGCATCAAAAAAATTGAAATTGAGTTTTATATTGCTTATGATGCACTACAGCATTTTGCACGTATGTTGCATAAAATTTTCAGCTTCCACTGTCAGATATAACCAATATATAATATAACCATTTTATGACCAATGTATAACCATTTTATAACCAAAATTTAATTTATATTTTCAATATGAKTGTTTTCCGTATATCGTTTTTATTTCGCCGGTAAAATCATTAAAATGCTATGTGCTTTTGCATTTTAGGTGACGATRTATAAATGACTAAAAGAGAACATAAGAATATCAATTGTCACAAGAWATTATGCATACGATTCGCATAATAAAATATGAGCGGGTTTAGGTATTTCAAACAATCAAGCAAGCTGACAATTTTAACAAATTCCAGCCAAAATTATTAGCTTGACATGGTCTTTGTTTAATATGTCGGCTTTCAAAGATTAAAATAAATTCAGATCAAGTTTACGATCTATAGTGATCAGATATTATGAAAATTAAAAAAAAAAAAAAAAACTAGAGGTAACATTCGTTTTCTTCGTTGTGTCAAATTGTGTTGGCGCAAACTTTTGCAAAGCGTTACCAATTCGCTTCGAGCGTATTGGCAACCCCATTATTCACTACCAATCAAATGACCCTTACAACCGAGAAGTAATTTATAAACTCATAAAGTAAAATTCTTTAATTAAACTTTTCACATAAGCAAATTCAGCAAAAACTAATTTTCAAACAAACTAAAACGATCGCATTGCTTAGGTTTTTGATGTCCTCCACTAAACTGCTAGTTTACCATAAGGATCTAAACCCACAAAATGTCACATTTCCATTGAAGTTGATTTGTTTTTCAACAACCTGCACTTAACCAACCATTCAACAATAACTTTTGACATAAAAAGAATACGCTGCTACACAAATTGCCACACTGATTTGCTACATTATTAAGCGCCCGAGAGCARAGTGATGGGAAATTCAACGAAAGTACATTAAAAAGCATTGGAGATGAGTAAAGTGCCATCGAGTGAACGAACTGTCAGCACTGATGTGGTGTTTCACTTTTGCTAATGATGAAGCCAATGCGCCTTAAATGTAAATCAATACTTGAGGAAATTTAAAAACGATGTCAAAATCGACAACAAGGTTGAGTAAATTGATTTTTAATGAGGCAAACGAAAGAATTGTCTACGTAAAGGCAAACAAAYACAAGCAAAAGTGAGACTAGCTGCMTAGCAAGCAACCAGCCAACAACACAACACCTGCAGCGGCTACTTGCAAAACTTACAGCTGCCGGTATGCGCTCAATCAACATCAGCTTTAACAGCTGATCACTGCATGCATAGTATAAAAGCATGGGAGGCAGCAAATTTATGCGAAGATGCTTGAACGTTGAACTGCCTACTTAACATAACTGCTAAGCTTTGTTTGTAAACTTGAGTGACATAACGACGCGTCTTTGACGTGGTTGTGATGCACCTGTGTCATAACGGTATACATACGTATGTATAAAGCGAMCAACGGTTAACCGGTATGCACTAACGACACATTATGTCAATTCAAGTAGTGTGATGTTAATGTGCGCTTAGTACTTGAGTCCATTAAAATCTGCTGCTGGCAGGTTTTTAACGTTCGACAGCATATCTAAGTAATACAAGCGGAAATAAGTGGTTGCACGGTTAAACTAGTTAGTTAAAATTGTAGTTATGTGCTAGAAAAAAATGTAAACGTAGAATGACAATTCAAAGTGAAGATCAAAGCAGATTAATGCAAAGTACTTAATATTAACACAATGCTTCCTTATACTTAGCCGAACATAAAAAAGAACAACCTATATGACTCTTCAAAATAAATCTAGCAAGAATTAGTAGTATATTTAAGTGACGGCAGCTGATGATGTTACAAGTCATACGGTGATGCATACATATGTGAGTACTTAAACTAATTACAGCACAAGTCATGTCACCTAACATTTACTATGCAAACTTWTGAGCGAGAGAAAGCTACCTTAAAGTAATTTAAAATAATTAATAAAAAAAAAATTACAAAATTAACAAAAATCTATTACAAAAAAATTATAATAAATACTTTGAATTTTAGCGCAAATCTATAACTGTTGATACCATGTATGTATATAAGACAGCAGGTACACAAGAAGTATATAAAACAGAAAATAGAAAATATAAACTTTTGAAAAAATTAAAATTTAAAAAAAATCAAAATTAAAAAAAAATAAATTTTGAAAAAAGTTGTGTTTTGAAAAAAAAATTTATTTAGAAAAAAAATTTAATTTCGAAAAACATAGCAAAGCTTTCAGTTATGACAATGTATTTTAAACTAATTTAGATTTATCAAACAATTTTCCAAACTAAACTAATGCCTCTAAAAACTAAAACTATAGATAACATACATAACTGTAAAACTATAAATGTTACTGCTAAAGTATGTAAGTTATTTAAAAATAAATTAAAAACTGGCGCTATGAAAAAAGCTGTAATAAATATGTATTTGTAAGTACAACTACAAAAATATAATTTTATTGCAGACATTTGAAAATAACTAAAAAAAAATCATTATATTTACTAAATATATAAAAAAATATTTACTTAATATACTATATATAAATTTAAAACTTAATACTTCTTTCTTTATACTTAAAAAGTTCAGAAATTCTAGCTAAATAACAATATCTAAATTAAAAATGTAAAAGTAAACTGAAATTGTATCTCTAACGGTGCTATATAACTATCGTCTTAACAGCAAAAATAAACTCATTGATTACTAACTAATRTACACACGCGCTTACAACTGATTCGACCTTAGCTAATCAGCTACTGAACGTGAATGCAAAATGTGACATGCCAATTTTATGCCCCGTTATGCATATGCAACCGCAGTTCATACGCTAGGTCACRTCTAAAATGTTCACGCATGTGTTTAACTGGTGCTAACTGCACAAATTATAGCTAACCGCAATTGAAAATGTGCGCAAACGTTAGGCAACGGAAATTCTGCGTATACCGTAGGAGCNTCCTGGAGGCTGCCGCAGAGCTAGTTGGTTCGTCGGCCCCTTAATGCCCCTACCTAATTTTTGTTGCACCCTGATAGGCGGTTCGGCCTTTCTATCCTCTACTCCACTAGAAGTGATTTAACTCATACGCTGAGATCGCCCTTAGTGCCGCTGGACTAACGGGGGTATTCTGGTCTGTCTCTTATACACATCTAGATGTTAAAAAACATAGGCGTGTGCACTGTATGTAACGAAAACTACAATTTTAACTGAAATAAGTATTGAAATTAAAAAAAATAAAAAATATGAAACAAATGCCCTAATATTAAAATTATTAAAAATTTAAAAAATATAAAAAGCCAAAACAGCGCTTGCTATACATACTTTAAAAAAAGGCATACATAATTAAACGTACATACATATTTAAATCTAAAAATACAAACTATAAAATTATGATTTATAAAAAAAAAAGTTATATTAATAAAATGAAAATTGCTGATATGTTGTGAATGTATTAAAATGCACAGCTAATAATAAAAACGAATATGAAAATAATAGATGTAAACAATAAATATGGAGTATAAATAAAAGGAAACCAAAACTAAACATGCTGTTTTAATTTTTTATTATTATAGTTTAGACTTACCATTTATAGAATCGACTACGTAGTATAATAAATTAAGTATTGACTGCGAAACGCAAACGAAAACTCCGTCTGCACAATGCTTAGCTAAGATTTTATTCGAGGACAACTTAAGTATGGACTGTGAAACCGGGCATAAGGGGATTAGCATTGAAACTAACACAGACTTCTTCTTTATTACGCAAATATAGCCGAGTTTACAACAACGCGCCTGTCGTTCTTTCTTTTTGCTGTTTAGCGTCTGTCTCTTATACACATCTAGATGTGTATAAGAGTGCTATCAATATTGGCATAAAATCGACATGTCGTTGTGTATTTAGAAGCAATTGTAGAAAACATTGTAGTTAAATTGAAAACGTAGTCAACATTTTTATACTATCCCTTTAGCGATATTTTCCGCCACAATTTATGCACGTTGCCAAAGTCATTTCAGTAAATGATGCAGTTTGAATTTTATAACTAATAATCGGCAGCAAAAAAATCTTGCACTTTTCAAAAATATATAAAAAACATAGGCGTGTGCACTGTATGTAACGAAAACTACAATTTTAACTGAAATAAGTATT